GGTTTATTCCCCGGGAAGAAGGCGCCCAAGCGCAGGGTGCCGGCCGCTGGCGAGCAGACCGGGTGCTGCGCGTTGGGCCGGGCCGGCACCGGTGCCCGCGGCTCAGGCCACAGCAGGGCTGCGGCAGCGTGGGCGGTCGTGACCCACAGGCTGGGGCCGTCGCTCGTGCTCTCGGGGTGCAAACCGTCCTGTGGGCTTTGTTTTATTATAGAATCAGTGTGTTTTACAGCTTTTGTTGCGTGTTTGTGATTATCAAGGACAGCCTTTCTACCTCATTTCACCAGGATTTTGTGGGAGTTCCGTCTTTAAGAAAAGAAACGATACGTGCTTTCTCCTCCCGTTCTCGGATGTGAAGTCTTCATCTCTGGGCCTGTGGCCCTAGACACGCACCCGCCTCTTCTGCAGCGAAACCACTGTGTGTACAGCACGGGTGACCATGTCACTGTTTAATGTTCGACACAGGCTGGGCTGCAGGAACCTCCCCAGGCAGTGGGTGGCCCGCCTCGCCAAAGAGGCCTCGGGAAACGGAGGGAGCCCTGCGCCTGCTCCTCGTCCTGGAGCAGGGTGGGCTGCAGGGTGGGCCGCAGGGACGGGCATGTGCTGCGCACGGAAGCCATCGGCGTTGGGGACCGACCGCGCAGGTGAAGACCCCACTCACGCCTGCACCATTGGGCCCTGGGGTGCCTGGGGTGCCTGTGGGTGCGGGACAGCACCGTCTGTCAGGGCCGACTGGGACACGCCCCTCCTCCCCGGAGCGGCTCTCGGACCGGACGGAGCTCCGAGGCCCGAAGCCTTCCGGGCCCCTGTCCCCTCCTGCCCTGCACAGGGCGGCACCAGCGGAGGTGGCTGGCTGGGCTCCGCCTGGGCCTGGAGGCCGCTGTCCGGGGGGCGCTGGATAGAACCGGGGGGGGGCCAGACTCAGCCCGCGGGCCTTTGTGTGTGTCGCCTGTGCCGCCGAGTTTACCGTCTGGATTCTCTCGGTCCCTTTCTGGCTTGGAAGGCGACGTGGCAGTGTCTGGGGGCGGGGGGGCGGGGGGCTGGCGGGGGGCTGGCGGGGCAGAGTCCTCTGTCAACCACTTGGAAGTGGGGGGTGTGCAGGTCTTTGCCTGTTTCTGTAGCGAGTCCACGGTAAGAAAAAATGTGTGTTTCCCTCGCTCCTCAGGCGCTGGCAGCGATTGTGCCTTCTCTGCACCTCCAGGTGCGGTGGGAAGTGCCGCCCCCCCCCCACGTGGCCAGGGGCACACCTGGAAGAAGCGTGGTGCCCGCTCCCCACACGGCCGCCGCTGGGCCAGGCTGGGGCAGCACCGCAGGGCGCCCAGTCTGCGAGGGCCGGACCCGGGAAGTCCAGTGCGGGGCCCGGCGGCCCGTGTCGCTGCGGGAGTTCCCCCTCGCCGGCCTCTCGCTTCTTGGGGGCCGGACCGGACTGAAGGGTCGGCTCTCCCTGCCTTTCTGGTGACGTTTAGAACTCTCAGTGTGCGGACACGCGACACGCAGACACGCGTGCAGAGTCGTCCGGTCGAACCACACGGGCCCTTCACCGCCTTGGGCTCCCACGCCGGTCCCCCCAGCAGCCGCGTGAGCCCCGAGACGGGACCCAGGCTCTTTGGAAACCTGTCTCGCGCCTGCCCCCCACCCAGGGGCCCCCCACCCCCCATGCTCCACAGCGGTGGGCCGGCCGAGCCCCCGAGTAGGACTGGCTTTCGGGGGGCGCTCCCTCCCCTCGGGGCGGCCGTCTGCCCTCCGTGCCTAATTTGCCGCGTGGCGTGTGCCGGGTTGTCCCCTCACCAGAGCGAAGCCCGTGTGTCCCTGACGGGGCCGCTGTCACTGTTTTCCCTGGTGGTTCCTAATCCACCTCACCTCCCCATCGGGGGCGGGCGGGCGGGGGGGGGGCAGGCACAGCCCCTCCCCCACCTCAGTCTGCCCGCCGATGGGGAAGACCGTGACGTGCCCGCTGCTGTTTCGTGTTCTGGCCGGGGGCGCCCTGGTCGTGTCCCTGCAGAGACAAGAAAGAAAGTCAAACACGTTGTGAACATCAGAGGACTCACAGGCGCAGTCAGGGGCGCGGCCGAGGCGAGGTTCTGGGGGCACTGCAAGGCCTGTGCAGAGTTCCTGGGGCACACGAGGCCTCTGGAACGAGGGTCAAACACAAGGCAGGGGCCTGGGGAGGGTGGGGGAGGGCGGGGGAGGCGTGCCCCCCACGGCCGGGCGAGCCCCACCTGTCCTGCTCACCTGCCCCGCTCGGCCCACCCTGCCCTTTGGCCCCGTCGCGCCCCGGTTTCCTCTCTAAATATTTGCCGTGTGTGCTGTGCCGGTGGTTACGCTCTCAGACCGCGTCTCCCCTCTCCCCTGGTTGCCCGGCGACGCGGAGGCCCGCAGGGACGGAGCAGCAGCTTTCCCGGTTTCCTGGGTGTGGAGGGAGGGGCGGCGTCTGTTCCTGAGTCGCGGACGCGCCGGGGGTCGTGCAGGGACGGTGCCCTGCGTGTGCCGGGCTGGTGGGCAGCTGCCGTGTGCCGCGGCCGCCACCTGCCCCGCCCACCCGCACCCCGTCCCCACGCATATGGTCCGGTCCACAGCGGGAACCGCATGGTCGGCGGTCCTGCGGAACGGCCGCCTCCGGGGTCCACCCGCACCCCGTGTCCCGGCGCGGTGCCCACCCTTCCGTGCTCTGTGGGGGCTCCTTTGGGGGCCTGTGGGCGGCGGGGCCTGGACGCTCGTGGGTGCGCATCGCCCTTTGCTGGCAGTGCACGCGGGGCCCTCCGCACGCTTGCAGAGTGCAGTCGGGTCCCTGGCCCGGAACCTCGGGGGCTTTGCGGAGGGCGGCACCTGGTGGTTTACTGAATACCTTCGTACTGGGGGGAAAACCAGGACTCCTCGGCCCCTTCGGCAGGTCCACTTGGAAAGCCTAAAGGTGCTCGATGCCGGGGGTCCATCCCCTCGGGCCTCCCGTCGCCCGCTCGCCGCCGCGCCGGGGGGAGAGCGTGTGAAGGCTTCCGGCGTGCCCCCCCCCTGTAAACTGGCTTCTGCGGAGGCGCGCCGGCTGCTGTGTGTGACGGCGAGCGGTTTCTGAGACCACGGCGAGACCCCACTGGGACTCCCACGGGCCGAAGCCTGGCTGACCCTCGCCCAGCCCCGGCCGGGCTGGGTCCCCGTGCTGGGCCCATCCCCACGGGGAAGGGTGGGCCGGGAGACGGGTCCAGTGTCCCTGCAGAGCAGCACCCACCCAGCCCAGCGACCCCACCCCCCGGCCCCCAGCCGGTGCCGCAGACGGGGGGGGGAGGGGGGAGGCGGTCGCCACGGACTGCCCCACGTGCCCGCGGTGGGCCCGGCACCTCCCTCTGACCTGACCCCCGAGACTTCTCCCCGAGACTTCCCTCCACGCCCTGTTCTCCCCCCTGTTCTCTCTCTCAACCTCCCTACGCCAGTAGTTCCGAGTCTCCTGTGCCCAGTCGTCACTGTGAGAGCTTCTTCCTTTAGTTCCGTCTCACACTTTCCTGGTCTTTTCAGTGTCAATGTTTGTGTAAGAAGCGCAAGACTTTCCGGGTGCCGGGCTTGCCCGTGGGGTGGGTCGGGGGTCCTCCTGAAGCCGTGTCGACGCGTGGCGTGGCTTCTCCATGGAGCGGACCCCACGTCGCAGCTGCGAGGGTCAGCAGGGGGGCGGGGCACTCTCTCCGCCTCCCACCAAAGGTCACGGTCGGGAAATACAGATATGAAACGTTCACGCACACGCGGATGTACGTGTTGTAACGTGTTGTCGGGGGGTGTAAATCCTCAGGTCTTGGGCCGTGTCTGAAACACCTTCTGCCGCCTGTCAGGGCCTTATCTGCCGTGTTTGCTCTGTGGCTGTGCAGGAGATCCGAGGAGACCCTCAGGAGTGGGGCCTCGTGCGCTTCCCCACGGGCTGAGCTGGGCATTTGGAAACAAAGCCCCCAGCTCCCCCTCCCCCTCCCCCAGGGGTCGGGTCCTGTGACCCCGCTCGGGGGTCCAGGCGGGCGTCTCCCTCCCTCACTCCTGTTGCCGGAGGCGGGGGTCTGACTCCCAGGGCTGGCTGTGTTCGGGGGCTGGGGGCTTTGTCGTCACTCGCTCCCAAGAACCCGTGGGCAGCCTGTGCCCCCTGCCCTGGACACCGGCCCCCTTCCCTGTCTTCACAGGGCACGTGCCCTCCCCCTCCCACCTCCCCGCATGCACTTTTTGGTGACACTTCTCGGCAGGTGGCTAGCTGTCCTTCCCAGATCACCACTGGGCACGCTCACAGTCCCTTGCTTCACCTGCACGGCCCCTAAAGAGAGGGCGGCGGTCCGTGCTGCACCGCCCCCCGGGCTCCGGGCGTGCGCCCCCCTCGGACTCCAGGGTCAGAGCCAGCCCTGCTTGCATTGCTCCAGCATAACCTGGGGCGTGACCTGAGGGGGTGTGACCTGCTTCCCCCGGGCTCCGGGGCCCTGTGCGCCAGCTCCTGTGGGAGGCCTTCCGAGGAGGAGGCGGGCGGCAGGCTCCGGGGTGTCTCTCTCACCGGGAAGACTCTCCAGGGGCAGGGAGGGGGTGGGGGCGGGTCCCGGCGGGGAGCACGAGGAACAGAGTCTGCTGTGTCATTTTCCCCACGGACAGACGGCGCAGGCCTGCCGCTGCCCACGCTGCACATGCCAGACCTCCTCTCTGAGGGGCATGGGCAGTGCAGGGCCTCTTGGTTGGTGTGTTGGGGGCAGTTCTTGGCCATTTGTCGTCTGTTACTCGTAGTATTTCTACTGGGAGAGAGGCAGGGCTGTCCCCTGGGCGGGGGCGGATGCGGGGGCGGATGCGGGGGCGGGTTCTAATCAGGGAGACGCCGGCATCGGAGTTTCAAGAAGCTTGACCAGATTCCTTCCGTTCCCGTCCCAGTAAGTAAGCACAGTCACCCCTGAGCCCCGAGGGTCTTTGCAGTCGCCCGGCAGGTGTTGCCCGCGGCCCGGGGGCCCTCGCGGGCGGGGGTGCCCGTGCCGCTGTCTGAAGCCGCTGTTCCCCTGCAGGCGCGCTGACCAAGGTGAAGGAGAGCCGGCGGCACGTGGAGGAGGGCAAGATGGAGGTGCAGAAGGCCGACGGCATCCAGGACCGCTGCAACACCATCTCGTTCGCCACACTGGCCGAGATCCACCACTTCCACCAGATCCGGGTGCGGGACTTCAAGTCCCAGATGCAGCACTTCCTGCAGCAGCAGATAATATTTTTCCAAAAAGTGACGCAGAAGCTGGAGGAAGCCCTCCACAAGTACGATAGTGTGTAGTGGCCGGACCCGGGATGGCGGACCCCTCCAGCTCGAGAATAATTCCCGCAGCAGGACAGAAACTGCTGTCAGGGAGCCGTGGCCAGCGCTCGGTGGCGGCACAAGGCTGGTTTTGTGTTGACTGGAACTGGGCTGAATTCGCAATGACGCAGGGCAGAAACAGTTACCGCGGTTCCGCAGTGGAAACAGTACCACACATTGTAACTAAGTTATACTCTGTATGCCTACACTACCATTGTAACTTTTGGAATAACGATTATACTATTTGCCTTATTGCTTTTTGAAGTATGGGTATTTTAGAGCCTACCTTGTAGACCTCAGAACCCACGGAGGGTCTCCGAGAAGCCGGCCGGGCCACAGCCTGCTCTGGGTGCCTTTCCCCTCGCGCACAGATCGGGATTCCCCAAATTCAGCCTGTCCTCTGTTTACAGACTCCAGCTAGAGCAGCTATGCGACTTCGTGCCTTCTGACGTTTTTTTTTCCTTTCTCCGCCCCTCCCCCCTTCGAGTAACTGCAGCTTTCCTGGTGGGAAGAGTGAGCGGCCAGGGGTGCCTGGGGTCGCAGCCTGCCTGCCGTGACCCCACGCCGCTGTCACTGGGGCAGGCGGGAGGGCGCTGTCACAGGCACGCGGGGTTTGTCCCCTGATCCCACGGTGAGTGCGGCGGAAGGGGCTCTGCACTCCTCGCGGGGTGAGAAGTCCATTGGGGCAGGAGAGGGGGCCCCTCTGTTCCCGAGATGCTGCGGTGATGGGGACTGTTCTGGCCGGAGGACTGGTCCCACCAGCGTCCCGGAAGCGAGGTGGGTGGTCCCCAGGGGCACGCCCACCCGTGTGGGGAGAGCGGAACCCAGCCCGCAGGGACACAGCCCAGGACCCGTGAGGACACCCTCGGTGTCCCTCGTAGGAGGGTTCCCCCCCCTTTTTTTTTCTATTTTTAGCTTGAAGATTTTCTTTTCCTATTCAGTGTGATTTTTTTTTTAAACGGATCTACACTGTTAACCAATTGAGACTCCACTGTGATTCATCGTTTACTCACTCGGACACTTTTCAGGGACGTCTGTGAGATATTCAGTGTTACACAGCGACGCCGCTACTGTCGGCCCGAGGAGGGACCAGCAATACTTGCTACTATTCCAGACGCCGAAAGATGCTGGAGCGACTGCTTGTTTTCAAGGACCGATGAGCCCCCGGGACGTCGAACAGGACAAATCACCTTAAATATATTCTTTTATTGTTATCACAAGGGAAATAGAAATGGCTGGTAAATACCAAAAAGATTCCAAAGCAGCTTCATTTAAAAAGCACAAAGAGATTGCGGCTCGGGGTGCCGAAATCTCAATGTTCCTCGTGGCCGCTGAGCCGGGCGATGGGGTTCTCGTGGTCCCGGGTGTGACGACCGGCTCCTCGGGGTCCCGGCGGCTGCTGTTCCTCCGGGCCGCGGCTGGCGCCGGCTCAGCGGCCCCTGGGCGTCGACCTGCCCACTGGGGATTGAAGAGGTCGGTCGGAAGGGCTGGCGAGCCGCACCCACTCGAGAAGAGGGCGCTCGCTCAAACCACCGCTCGGCGGCACCTTTGTCGACTCTCGGAGGTAGCCTCACGTGGGCTGAGTTTTTCAGGTCCGAGTGTGGTCGTTTTGATCACGACTTTGTCCCTTGGGGAACCTGGAGCCAGATCTGACATCCTGTGGCTTTGAAGTCTCGGCCGCGGATGAGTGTGACCAAACGTGCTGTTGTTCTCTCAAGGGTAACTGTCTCTTACTGATGGCAAAATGCAGCTGGCTAAACAAAACCCACGTGTGCATAAATGTTAATGTTGTGGCGGAAGTTTGGAGATTGTGACTCTGGCATTTAAGTTCAGGTCTGTATGGGACACGTAAGCTTTTCAAATGATTTGAAAATTGGTTTTATTTGCCTCTTTATTTTCATGGTGGTTTGATTTTTTTTTTTTTTTTTTTAGTAAAATCACTAAACGCGTGCTGTGATAGCACGGAAGTTTTCTGGGGTGTCTTGCAGGACTGCGTGCTGGCCAGGGTGGACGCAGCTCGAGTCACAGAGACCACCGAGGACTGGAGGACACGAAGGGCGAGCTCACGCCCCCGCCTCAAGGAGGACTTTGGTTTTCCTGACGACAGCCTGTGACGCTGCCGACTCGAGGGAGGGTTGGATGAATTCCGTGGGGCGGGACACGGGAGGTGTTGGCGTCCCCTGGCACCCGAGTCCTTTTCCTCGCTGGCCTTCTCGGTCCTGTGGGGACATGTCCGCACACAGAGTGCCGTGAGGTCAGCGCGTGGGGGAGAGCCGCCCTCCCGTGTACACTGGTCACTGTGGCCGGTGCGGCACCAGTTTCACGAATAAACTATCACGCCCTTCATGCCACCACTGGTCCTCGTTTCTGTAACCCACCCTTCTGAGCATGGTCACCATGCAGAGGCGTCCGCAGGGGGCTGGGCATGGCCACTCAGGTGAAGGCCAGGTTGCCTCTGCCTCTTCAAGTCCTTGTGGCCCCCCAGCCCCATTTAAGCCAGGGGAGGGGGCGTGCGGGGGAGCGGCACGCTGAGCCCGAGCACCTGGGCCTGCACAGGGGTCTCCGTGGATGCCCCACAGCACGGCCGGGCCTTGGACGCTGGCTCACAGGTCCCCGCTGCCCCCGTCGCCAAGGACCCCAGGGCTGTCTCGGCCGGTGGGGTCGGGCACGGAGAGCCCCCGAGACCGCTGACCGTCACCCTGCGCCCTAGAGCGCCCGGCACCTTCCAGCCCGCCGGCATCGTCCCCCTTCTCATCGGCTAGTCGAAGAAGTGAAGCAGGGTTTTATTTATTTATAGACTAAAAATGTGGAATATTGTTCTATTTCCTTCAAGATGTTATGATTAGTGCAGATCAGCCATGTTTATCTTTTAAAAATAAACCAAGGTTGCTTATTTCTGAGCTTCAGTGGACTGTTATAATTATTTTTCCCCCGGTAGTGAAGAGCGCATTTGCTTCACGAGAAAGACGAACACAGAAAGGTAGCAGAGTGTGTGAGGGCCGGCTCAGACCGGCCTGATCCGAAACACCAAGGACCTGGCGAATCCCACGGGGCCACAGTCCCGTCCAGAGCCAAGCTTGGCCTGGCTGGGGAGTGCACGGAGTCAACTTCTCCCTTTCAGGGGTCTGTTTTTTTTTTTTTGTGGCATCTCCTGACGTGGCCAGACCGTGTTTTGGTCACAGGTCCTCCCAGGTGCCCGGTGGGGACCTGACCCACGCTGCGGCCAGCGGGGCCGGGGAGGGCGGGGTGGGGGGGGGAGCAGCCCCGGGAAGGCGCGCTGGAGGGCGGGGGGGGGAAGGAGGAAGTGGTTGGCAGCCGTCGGCAGCCTAGGGCAGCTGCCACCTCTGGTCTGTGATGAGATGAAAGGTCAGAGGGGCCCGTGTCTGCCGCCCGGCGTCATGCGAGCAAGGTGGCGCGGAGGGTCACACGGGCTCAGGCCCAGGCCACTTCCTGCAGGCGCTGTGAACCCCCTCCCGGGTCCCCGAGGCGGACCGACGGGGGGACCCCATCATTCTCTGGGCCCTGGCGTGACGGTGCAGAGGTCCTCTCTGGAAACCTGCTCTGGCCCTCGTTGCTGTCGGGAAGGGTGAGGGTCACCATGCCCTCACGTTCACCTCCGGCCCCGCCCCGTCTCAGGTCTCAGGCGTGGCGTGTTCCCGTGGTGACGGGGAGGGAGAGAAGGATGAGGGCTCCCACCCGCAGGTCCCCCTCCCACTCCCACGGTGCACACAGGTTTCCGTGGCCACGGGAACTAAAGCCAGACGCATCAGTCCAGTCGGTCAAGGTCAGAGTCGGCCACGACAAGTTCCACCTGGCCGCAGGCAGAAGCGGCAGGGAGTGCCCCGTGGAGGGAGCTCCGGTGGGTCCGAGGCCTGGTGCAGTGGACTTCAGGAAGGCAGAGGGCCGCAGTCCTGCGAGGCTCTGGCGTGGGGCCTGGAGGTCCCCAGCTGAGTCTGCCGTGGCCCCAGGCTCCAAGCTGGGGGCCGTGGGTCTGGGCTGGGCTCGGACCCAGGAACGCACGCAACGTAGGTGGCATTCCCTTGCCGTGGGTCCCGTCAGTTTATCTGGAAATGACCTTAAGTCTGAGGTGGTTTACATTTTCAGTCCCTCCTGGGAGTGGCTCTGGGGCCTGGGTGGCTGCTGAGCTGGCGGACTTCTCTGCAAGCACAAGGGGGAGACTGAGTCCGTGCCCGGGTGAGGGAGGCAGTGCCTTGGAGCCGGGGGTCATGTCTGACCTTCCCCACTCTGAGCGACCCCGGGCTGCTCCCCAACCCCACTCAGCAACCTCAGGTGTGTGACGGGCCTACCTGGGTTCTACTGATTGTCGAGCGCGTCGCGTGAGCCCGTGTGTCCGGCCCTCACCCATTCTGTGGCGCTTCCTCTGTAACCAGCAGGCCATGGCAAAGACCCCAGGGGTAGGGCCTACGCGAAGGGGAGCCCTGCGCCCCACCTCGGCGGCCTTGCACCAGTCTGCAGTGTCGCGGACCCCGGCTCCTGGGGTCCTGGATGAGACGAGACAGATTCACACGGGCCACCGAGGCCCATGGGGGAAAAGCCTCAGAGCCCCTGGCCACTCTCTCAAGAGGAGAGCGCCTGGATCTTGGCCCTGACAGGCTTTGATTGGGTTCAACTTGCACAGGACACAGGGTGTGTATGTAAGCTCATCAGTCATCGTCTGGCAGAAGTGGTTAAACCATAGATAACATTCAAAGAACTCTGAGGGCTTACTCTGAGTCAGGGTCAGATAGCTAAAGGACCATAAAACTTTGGGGAACAAACTCACTTCCTGCTTGGACCCTTATCATCTAAATTGAGGGTACTAGCAAAGCAGGTTTCATAGGATTTTATGCATTCTTTCTTAGGCCTGATCACCCTAGGGAACCTGCCCTTTCCAGCATAGGGCGGCACCACCTCCAGCATTGCTTCAGGCTTAAGGCATTGTTTCAGGCTTAAGTCAGGCAGGGAGAAGTAAGGCAGCCAAGAGATCAGGAGACTTCTTGCAGACAGAATGAGGACTCAGGCTATGTCAATGCTGAGGGGCGAGGGTCCATCACCCCCTTTTTCTGTAGACCCCCAAGCCCTTCCCTGAGGGCCCCTTTGAGACCATGCCTGTCTTAGGTCGTCCCTCTTGAGGAATCTTATCCGTCATTGGCTAACCAGTCATCTGCCCGGGGCCAAGCAGGGTGAGATGAAAGGGGGCAGAGGCGATGCCCCTGCCAGGGAGATAAGCTTTGTCTCCTAAGTGGCTTAGGGTCCCAAGGTCCTTTACTCAGCCTTACCCATGGGGGCCGGGGGCGGGGGATCAGGGGTTTACCGCTCGCTCGTGAAACCAGGCAGGGCGGTTCCCAACCCTCCTGTCTGCCCCAGCCGGGCAGGGCTGGCCCAGGAAGAGCAGGGTCCGCCTCCTGTGGTGGCCGGGCCACTTGGCTGCTGCAAGGGGCAGAGGGGGCAGACGCAGGGAGACGGCGAGGAGGCTGGCAGACGCGGTGCGGCTGCACAAGAGCAGGCCGTGGAGGCCCAGTCGCAGCCCCGCAGCCACGTCATCACTGTCCGCCAGCCAGGGCGTGCGAGTCGGGCGGAGGTCAGGCCCCCCAAGTTGACTCCCAAGGCTCGGCGCACACGCCCGCATTGCAGCAGCAGATGGACCGGGGTTACGGCCGGAGACCAAGGGATTCCATAGTGACGACATGTGCTGGGCGCCACGGCGGCCCTGTGACCCGTGCTCGCCTCTCGAACACAGGTTGAGGGTCCTGGCAGGTCTCCTTCCCTTTTGGGGACCTCCTAACTGCGGGGTCAGGACACCACCACGGGCCCTGGCGAACTGGAGCAGACCGCCCCCCGCAGCCACGCCCCGGCCGCCACGCCCCCTGAACACCACGCCCCCGGCCGCCATGCCCCTTGAATACCACACCCCCGGCCACCACGCCCCCAGCCACCGCTCTCCTGAACGCCACGCCCCTGAGCGCCACGCCCCCTGCCACCACGCCCCCAGCCACCACTCTCCTGAACGCCACGCCCCCTGAACGCCACGCCCCGGCCACCACGCCCCCTAAACGCCACGCCCCCAGGTGCCAACACACTCCAGGCTCCCAGCCCAGCCCTGCGCCCCCTGCGGCCGGAGCCTGCCTTTTGCTTCCGTTTTGGCATCTTTTTTTTCCTTCACCATGCTCTGGCTTTTCACAAATGTCTGCAAATGAGTTGATAAAACTTGAAAGGAGCCCTTCCTTTCTCGGTTTTCCTTTGCTCCTGCTCTCAGGTACAGTGGTTTTCGACCCTGATGTCTCTACGGCGGCCGCAGCCGCAGAACCCCGAATGCATCAGGACGCCCGAGCCGCACGCGGGCCGACGGAGTCGGGATCCTGCCAGTGGGGTCCCGGTTCGGTGCGGCCTAAAACTCGCCCCATGCGATTCCGACGCACGAGTTTGCTCTCCTTCTCAAGTCAGCGTGCACAGGGCCAAGTGCGGGCCCTCGTCCGCCACGGCGCTCAAAGGCTCTCCCTAAACGAGGCCTCCTGGTCAGCACCGCGAAGGCATGGAGGGAAGAAAACGTCCGTTATCCAGTGCAAATCGCTGCCCCATTACCAGGCACACGGCCTGTAACGAACCGTGAATGAATAGAGTTCTAGCCTGTAATCCACTCGAATAGCACAGTTTTATTCCACTGTTTTGTGTGTGTGTGGGAAGCAGTGATCCGTTCAGTATAAATGATTGCAGTAAACCACAGAACGTTTTCCGTTCTTCAGCGCACTGGGCTTCAGGGACCGGAGTGGCTCCGGCTGCCTGGGCGGGACGGAGTGCGGGCTGGGGGCCCCAGCACCAGCCCTCCATATCCTGTCCAGGGACTCGGGCAAATCCCTTAGTTGTCTCCTGCAGGGAAGTTCTATGATTCTCTGCTAAAGACGGGTAGACTGAGGTTCAGAGAACGTAACAAGCTGAGTACGTAAGAGTCCTTGCGTGGCATTGTAGAGTTCACGAGCCTCTGTGTGTGCCCCCCACCCCCACTGGACACCCGGCTGACTCGCCAGGGGGAGCCGTGCCCAGACCCCCCCCCCCCGCCGCTGCCCCCGCAGCCCGCCGCCACACCTCCTGCCTCTCCATCTGGCTGAATCCCAGGCCTCCTTTGAGGCTGGTCCCGGCATCTCTCGCGCTTAGCCTAACTTGCTGGCTCCTCCTCCTCCCTCTCTAGTCGGTCAGCTTCTTTCCTCTCTAGTTTCCAGAGTCTGGCAGCGTGCTGGGAAGATTTGTAGGTGTACTGTCAGAAGGAAATGAGGCTGGGTGACTCAGACCCTGCAGTCTCTGAGTTGGGTTACGTTTGCTGGGCGTTTACCAGCATCGTGGCTTACGAACGGGGGTTGCTTCACTGTTTTCCTCTCTTCTGTTTTAAGCTGGTTGGCGAGCCCTCGCCAAAAGCAGAAAGAGCTCTGCCTCCAGGGTTCCCTCTTTGGTGGAATCGTCAACATCTGTGGAAGTGACCCAGTATTTCGCCAGTCTTTTACCATTGGGGCGTTTATGTTGTTTACACCTTTTGTCGCAGCTGCCCTGCAGTGAGCAACTTTGGTCACTGTGTTACTTTCCTATTGTTACTGCAACCAAGTATCACAAACTCTGTGGCTTGAAACAACATCCAGGTGATGGCGGGGCTGCCTTCCTCCGGTGGAAACCAGAGGGGAGAGGCCCCTTTCTTGCTTTTTCCGGCTTCTGAGGGCTGTGCAGCCCCTGGCGCTGTCCACCTTCCCTGGCAGCAAACGGTGGCGACGTCTTGACCATATACCAGTGCCAACTGGCTTGTGCAGGAACCCACCTGCTGTCCTCATCCGCCTCGAAGCGACCTGTGGGACCCAGGGGCATCCTCTGTGAAGGCCGGCTGAGCAGCAACCTGTGTTTCCCCGCCGTCCACG